TGAATTATTGCTGGTGATTTTAATATGCTTCATGTCTCGTGGCTTAATCAATCAGCCCCTCTCAAATATAGAGCCCTAGTAGACACTATTTTTACACACGACTGGAAGCAGCATGTGCGTACACCGACGAGACGATTTAACATACTGGACCTAGTATTTACTAACGGCATTCCACACGCATGCGCCAGCGTGTTAGACAACATACCGGGCAGCGACCACAGGGTAGTGGAGCTGTCTTTTGCACTGCTTAAATTCCCTGAACAGGGAGATAACAACTTTGAGGTTTCACGCCTCCTCCAGCGCATCAACTGGGAAACGTTTTCGTCCCTCCTCCAAGCATCAACCTGGGACGATTTCTTTCTCTCAGCAAATATAGATACTGCGATCAGGGAGCTTTATAACAACCTCCCAAACTGTCTAGACGTCCTTGCCCCCAAAAGAAGAAGCTAAGAGGGCGACAGACTCTTGATGATGCTCCCACACGCAAACTAGCTACGAAGCTTAAGAAAATGCGCTCCCGCTACAGCAAGACTAAAGGCTTTCATCTGATCCTCCGCATGAACGAATTACTAATCGCCTGGAGAATTGCACAAAGCAATGCTCGTACATTAGCTGAGCACGCAGCGCTATGCACTGATAACAAGGCAAAGTCTCTTATTCGACTAATGAAGCAGCGAGGCGACAGTTGTGGGTTACAGGACAGTACAACGGCAGAGCCTAAGTCACTTAGATATCAGGAGTCCGAGGTGGTTCAGAAAGTAGTAGACCGTTCCGACGAGTCCGGATAAGCCAGCAAGATAAAGTTAGACAGCCAACTTAAGGTGTGAATAACATTAATGAGTGTCATAAGATAAGAAGCTTTCGGGGCGGCAGCGGCTATATGAAAAGCCAGATAGTATCTCAAGGAAAGGTCTCGGGATAAGGGGAACCGTGTGTTTAGAATGTAGGACCTAGATTAATAACGTCTCGGATGTCGGAGAGCAGTCAGAACAGGGAACTGGTCGACCAAAGGTTGATTAAAGCCAGGTGCGAAGAGATATCCGTCCATTTGAATAATTCAACTAGAATGACAACAGGAAGACGCTCGATTGATGGGAAGTTGAAATACCAACGATGTGCTCAGGGAGATGTGAGCAGACCGATAATTCTACCGATGCTGTTCGTTAGGGTCACAGTAGACGGAAGCAAAGCGGCCACTGGGACGAGATTAGAATATCAGCTAAAATAATGAAATCCGTAGAAGTTGGTTCTAATTACTAAAGGAGAACATCGACACAATAGTCTAATACAGGAATAAAGGCGCATAGTAGAAATTATGAATCCATGCAAGCAGTTCATTTCACTTGTGGGACATTAGGACGGCAGAGCCTAAGTCACTAAGATCTCAGAAGTCCGAGGTGGTTCAGAAAGTAGTAGACCGTTCCGACGAGTCCGGATAAGCCAGCAAGATGAAGTTAGATCGCCAACTTAAGGTGTGAATAACAGTAATGAGTGTCATAAGATAAGAAGCTTTCGGGGCGGCAGCGGCTATTTGAAAAGCCAGATAGTATCTCAAGGAAAGGTCTCGGGATGTGGGAAACAGGGTGTATGGAATGTAGAGCCTTGAGTATTAACTTCAGTGGTGTCAGGAAGCAGGCAGGAACAGAGGGCAGGTCAGCCGAGTGTAGATTGGAGCCAAGTCCGAAGGAATATGCATCCAATGGAATAAGAAATGGAAACAGAGCGCGAACAGGAAAATGTTCAATTGAGTGGAAGTAAAAAAGCCAACGATGTTATCAGGGAGATGTGGGGAGACCGATAAGTCTGCCCAGCCCTGATCATTAGGTTCAACGTAGCCGGAAGCAAATAGACCACTGAGACGAGGTACGAGTTACAGTGCATTACGTCGTTAGCGCCTAGATCATTTAGATCCCGTTATGTCCGTGAGGACAGAAAGCAGACTGAAACCGGCTAGAACATCAAGATGATGTTATGCCGCCAACTTATTACGGTAATAAAGGTAATAAGTGTCAGTAGAAAAAAAGCACTTTGACTCGTAATTACCTACACGAAAAAGCAGTTGGCATGCCGAGCAAAGATCTAAAGATGAGGAGACCGAAATGCTGGGACTGTAGAGCCGTGGATATCCGGAAAGTGCTATCCAACCCAAGGACATCAATCGCTTATGCTCACATTCCTGACGACAACAAACATTCAAAAATGCTGCGGCACATTCAAAGACACAAGCTACATTCATACACAATTACATACGCATATACACCCGTACACTTACATATATTGTTATGCCAAACATGTACTTTTGTACGTTATTGATCACACTGTTAGCTAAACATGATCATGCCTGTAAAGGTGTGTCTCGCATGGTCGAGAATAAAAGTTTATTTATTTATTTATTTAAATCGTTAACGTCGCTGATGTCTGGAAGCAGTCAGAAAGCAGTAGACGGGCCACACGAAGGTAGATTCCAGCGATGCCACAAAAGTTATTCGTCCAGTTGAGGATGCGGTAGCTGTGTGATTACATGTTCTATATGTGAGCAGGTTCTTGTTTGCCAAAACTCGTCTTCAGCCACGCAGTTGCCTAGAAGTTACGCCACTTTTGGGACGCTGAGTAGTCGTTTTATGGTAGAGGAGAATTGCACTGCATTTTCTGATGCCCTGACTGTTCCTGGTAGCTTGTTCCATACGTGTGCATATCTATAGATGAAAAAGTTTGAACGAATGTTGCGAAGTATCTTAAGGAGAGAGGATGAGTGGGGTTCTTGGCGCCTGTGGTAAGGTGTATCGCCCATCGGTTGAAAAAATAGGCCTATGCATGAGTCAGAGGTTTTGCGAAGTTTGTAGAGGACTACAAAGTTGACTTTAAGCATGCGCAGCCAGAGAGGCTCCAGTCCAAGCAGTTTGCAGCGTCCTTGATAGTTGAGCATAGATGAACCAAGAAGGCGCTTAGTGAAAGACCGCTGGACTTTCTCGATCCTCAATCTATCAATCTGCCGTGGATTGGAGATAACTATCGAGCAGTACGCTAAACTCGGTCGAGCACATACTTTGTAGAGCGTGAGCCAAAACTCAACAAGGCTTACTGACTTCATTATATACCCGATAATAGACCTGGCTTTGGCGGAGCTATAGCTTGCTTGTTCGGAAAAGGTAAGCGAGCTAGAGTAATGCACACCGAGGTCTCGCACGGTGAAGCTGTTACTTAAGAGTGTGCCGGTAAGCGTTAGAGTGTTGTGTGGTATAGTGCAGTGGTAGGAGAGAACATTGCATTTCATTGGTGAGAATTCAGGTCTCAAAATATCGCACCAATTTTCAAGAGCACGAAGATCGTTCTGAACGTTTGAGAGGCCATTTTGTATGCAGCTGGGCTCGAATGAAAATACAACTTGGATATCATCGGCATAAACGTATGCAGTGCCGTATCGAAAGACGCGGAAGACGTTATTAATGAATAGCGGAAACAGCAGATGGCCAAGTACACTACCTTGAAATACTGCGCTGGTTACGGGTGCTCTTTGAGAAGATTTGTCACCTAGTTCTACTGCCTGCGTTCTGCTAGAGAGGTAGGAAGAAAACCAAGAAGGAAGGTGACCAGAAACACTGAACGCAGCTAGTTTAGTCAGCAGTCCATCGTCTAGAACCCGGTCAAATGCTTTTTTCATGTACAAGAAGATAATGACTAGCGTTTTCCCCGAGTCAATAATGTGTCACGTAGTTCCAGAATCCAAACTGGCATGTTTGGCAAGATTTAGCCGGCATCATTCCGTGTTGGGACCTATTTATGAGATTGCGCTGCAGCAAGAAATGAAGCATTCCCTCTCTGACTATCCTTTCCATAACCCTGTACGCAAAGGGTGTGCGGCTTATAGGTTGATAGTTGTCGATATTTTGACGACAACCTCGTTTGTAACATGGAATGACTATGGAGTGTTTACACAGGTTTGGGTAGCTTCCAATTGTCTTGGTGAGGGTGAAAACGTTAAGAAGAAAGATTGTAATATCCGGGCCTCCGAGTATGATTAAGGAGGATGGGACGCCGTCAGTGCCGGGGTTGTGTGTCAGCTTCACTGAGCGTAGAGCTCGACTGATATTGTTCAGTTTGAAGTCAATGGTGTAAATGCGATCGTCTGTAAACTTTGAAATCGTATTTGGCAGTAACACATTAGCGCTAGTAAATGCATAATAGAAGTATGCGTTAATGAACTCGCAAAACGTCTGCGTCAGTAATAACCCTATTATCAGGAAGCACGAGTGAGTTAATAAAAAATAACTAGGTTATTTTTGAATTTGTCGAGACACACCCAGCAAAGCATGATCAATATTTACATGCAATATTGCTTCGCAACAAACACGTTGCTATGAGTTTAGTCGGCAGTAAGCCGAAGGTTGTACAGTCTGCGGCCACTGCGATGCTTCAAAAGTCGTACAAGTGACTTAGCACTCTTCGCACCGTGCAGCGCAGTGCGCTCAGCTTAAGTATGTACATGACTTTTCGAGTTTCTCCATTTCACTAGTATTTGGTTTATACGAATTATGAGGTGAAAATCCTCAGCATTCTTGTAGCTAGAGCGCATTTTCTTAAGCTTAGTGGTAATTTAACGCGTGGGGGTGTCATCAGGATTTTGCGGTCGCCTGATAGAGCGCTCCAGTGGGGCTAGGACATGGAGGCAATTCGTGAAGTTATTGTAAAGTTCACGGATCGCAGCATCCTCACTATTTGCCAGGAAGAAAGTGTCCCATGGAGCGGCACGGAGAAGTGACGAGAAGATCACCCAATTATTATGCTGGAGAGACCTAAAATAGTGTAGACTGGGCCAACCCTATGACGGAATTTGAGTAGCTTGTATGCTAGCCTCACATCTTTGTGGTCGCCGCCCGGAATGTTATATAACGCGCTGGCAGTTGCATGCGGGATACCGTTGGTGAATATTAGTTCCAAGGAGTTGGACTCGCTTGTAGGTGCAAGCACTTGTTGAGTCCAGTCATGTCTGAAGACAGTGTCTACGAGGGCCCTATACCTGGATGGTGCTGATTGAGTAAGCCACGAGATGTAGGGCTATTGAAGTCTCCGCCGATTATTTTATGACGGGCGGGAAGGAAGGAAACTTCGTGAAAGAGCTTATCCAATTCGTCAGCACTGGTACTAGTCAGATGCGGTGGGTTGTGCATGCAGCCTATCAGGATGTTAACTTGGCCTCCTGTGGCTTGAATCCAGACAGAAGCTTCGGGAGTTCCAGGTAGTATGGTTTGAAATGAAGCTGCGTGGAATTCATTGCTGACGTAAATAAGACAACCGCCGCCTCGTTGATTTATGCGTCCGTTACAGAACGTCTTGAACCCAGGAATGTGCAGCGGAGGATCAGGCATATCAGCGGCGTGCCACGTTTCAGTTACCATCACCACAAGCGGACTGGAGAGAAGTATGAGAGGGGCAAGAAGGTGCATCTTTTTGTTGATAGCTCGAGAATTAAATAGTAGGATTGTATACGAATCGGTCGGATTAGTCTTGATGTGGGGTTCGGCCAACGGCGCACTTGGCGAACCGCGTTTTGGTGAGAGGCTTGTTTGTAAACCTGCGTTGAGGTGCATGAACGATTGGCCGGTGAAAGATAAGGTAATTGGCTGGCGGTGGTTAGAGACAGTAGGTTGTAGGGGAGGGTAAGCGGTATTCGGGTGAGTAAAAGTTTGAGTTGTGGGGCCAGGCACGAGCTCCGGTGTAGTGCAGTTGGACAAAATCGTCGTACAAGTGGCTGGAGCATACTGGAAGGCGTCAGTTGCATCATTTCCAGCAGTCGGGTAAGGTGATACAGCGCTGTATCTGGAGTTAGGCATGTAGTGATCGCAACTCGCTGCGTTGCACAAGAAAGGGAATACGAGAGATGTTCGGGCGACTCGCGGCGTGATCGAATGTGATGGTCGAGGTACAGATTCGCTGGATTTGGAAGGCCGAGGAGGTGCGGTGTTTGTGGCTCTCATAACGTTAAGGTACCTATGTGGCCGTTGTCTTTGTGACATTGTGGCTCGACCAGCAGTGAAACCCGACATGCTCGGAATTGAAATACGAAGTAAGGGGCTTGGGTTGCTGAGTAAACACTTCTGGCGACCGGGCTGTTCCAGCTTGTTGGTCTCATAAGTAGGCTTCGGCCCAGCATAGGGGGTGGGAGTTTCAAACTTTCCGTGCGAACCGACTGGGTGCTTTGCTTAACAGGTACCCACGGGGGTTTATCTTAGCCATGCTGGAACGTTCGCGTGTTACACCTTTGCTGAACTGTTGTGGCTTTGATGGAAACCGAGGAGTCATAGCAATCAAACACCGTCGGTGAGGGTTGCTAGACGTTGGAGTCGGACAAGTAGGAGATTGCGCGGCGTCTTTTACGACACTGGTAAGAAGCGTGTAAGACGACAAAAAGTCAAAGCTCTTAATTTCTTATTCCGTGGCACACATGTCGGACAGTTGTGTTGTGTCCACGGCTACACTGGTTGTTGCTGTCATTGAAACAGTCCCAGTTTAGATGCTAATAATGCCTACTTTGTTCCAAGACGGCTCTAGTACGGCGGTGTTTGCTAGTTACTCTTGTGTTGTATCGATATCCACATTATAACCCACAGGAGAGTAAGCGGTAGGCGTTAAATTTAAGAACGTACTAGGCAGTTGTGCTCCCTGAAGGTGGTGTGGTTTGCGTCGTCCTTTTGGTTAATTTTGATTAGATTGAATAGACCTCTGCAGCGATGTTCTGTCCAGTGTTACCAAGATTGGCCCGAGATTAGGCAGATTTCGTAGGAGAAATCGGGCGTCAATAAACCTTTTAGCGAAGTCGTGGTTGCAAAAGTTAATCACGATTCTGCGCGATCGGCCAGTGATCTTACGCAACCCAGTGGCTGTGCAACAACCATGTGTAAGTTGACAAGCATCTAAAAGTGTATGCAGCACTTTCTTGAGAGGCAATTTGTCATGTACATTGAGTACAATAGCGTTGTTGGCGCGGCGCATGCGTTCCCTGACCTAGTGTGCAATATTGTTCAGTAGTTCACCAGTTGCGAATATACCGGTCAGATTTTCTAAACTTTGATATTTGGTTACGTTGGCAAAAGAGGTGAGCTTGCCAAGTGTCTCCATAATAGTCACAATCGGACGTTTTATTTCGTTCACTTGACTTTCGAGGGCAGAAACTTTTTGCAAAGCCTCAGCTAGTGGATCCGAGAGTATAACGCTGCACTCCGGTGTTTGGGGTTGACTAGCCTTGGCGGTCAAAGGCGATGGATATTTCCCCGGTTTCTTGACAGATTTGGGAGGCACGCGACGTTCGCCAACCATGTTAAATAAAAAAATAAAAAATTTTTTTATGCTCCACTATGTTGTAAACAATAGATATAGAAACAGGTAAACCCACGGGTATATATGGAAAAAAGGAAAAAACATGAACACGACAAACGACAGTGGAAACATTTGTTTATACAAAAGCCCAAAAACGGAACACACGAGTTCGTATTAGGAATGTGTTACGTTAAAGTAACACAAAGGGGCCAAAACGCTACGCTATGCAACTCAGGGTATAGAAAGATGGAACGCAACGAAAATGCACCGTTTGACAGCCATCTCCGGCTGTTCAATCGACAACGAAAATATGAGTTTCCAGGAGTACCAGCACTTTAGCGAAGAGCTACAGTACGTGGTGGGTTGTTGCCTGCCACACATTCCCCTATAAACAACCACCTACGTCTGTTTAACAGCACTGGGACGTAGAGGAGGTGACTCACCTCTAACTAAAGTCACAGCGCTATGATTATTCAACCAACCACGCTTCCACCATGGACGTCAAGCAACCCCTCTCAGACTATCCACGTGATCAATCGCCATTGCAGTGGCACATCCTAACTCGTATACCAGATAGACACATGCATTTCCACATACACGCATGAACACAGAGATCCAAATTTCATGGCCAACGCACCATTGTTGCACCTTCCCCGATGGTTGATTATAACTTTAACATGGACAGGCCTACACATGCGCTTCCCGCATTGCACGAGGATAAAAAGGTTATTTATTTATAAGTTACGGGTGGCTTGGTCTCATCCCGGATTGCTGCTGGTACCGGAACACCTGCGTCGCACGTGATCATGCCGCTGTAGGCTGTTCTTTCTCCATGTACTTTACCGCAAACCGCACCAAGCGTCTTCTTCGGTTGGCAACTGGGAAATTATCGCAGCCGTCGTTCAGACCACCCCATCAAAATGCACCGCGTAACAAATTATCGCATCTTTGTCCTAATGACACTGGGCTTTAGTGGCTTTGGATCACGACCGCCTTGCACGACGCAGCAGCATCGGATTGTGGCGTCCTCAATCCTCACGGCACCAGTCACTGAATGTCCGATAGGTTGGTGAACCTTTAGAATCAGAAGAAACCGCGTGACTGGTTTTGAGGACAATGGTACCGGATGGGCTATTAAGCGCGAACAAAAGTGGAGCCTAAGTGCTGACAAGGAAGTGTGGTGGAATAGTATTGGCTCAAGAAATGTTGGAGGCAGGTGCTGTAGGCAGTTACCACAAGCAGTTCCAGATGATCCGTACCACTGTTCCCAGGAAACCAGGCATTAGTGAGACAATCAGCGACAGCGCAGGTATGATGCTAAACAATAAGGAGCGCCGTATGGCTCATAGGGCGGAGCACCTTCAAGGTCAGTTTAGCTGACGCCCTGCACTCGGAACTCTTGCTACTCAGGTGAGGCAGGACGAGCCATGGACGATTAGGTTTGTTTGGTCGGAGGCGAAGTTTCGAATCGCACTCACAATCCTCAAGCGTTTTCGTTCCGCCGAGCCAAAATCCCTCCCACATACACTATTTAAGGATGAGGGTGAGGTATTCTGAAAATACTGACCGTCATGTTCGAACGTGTCTGGAAGAAACAGAGTGTACCGGATAATTGGAGCGAAGCGCTTATAGCGGAAAAGTACAAGAGAAGCGGTCGCACACACTGTTCTAAGCGCAGCGGTATTAGATAAATGAAGAAATAAACCTCTATTCTCGACAATGCGATGCATGTCCACTTATACAGGATCAACTATGTGCAATTGTACAGATATGCCGCAGCTTTGTAATGGTTACAATCCAAGGTCCTCCAGACTTTCCTAGTTGAAACTGTAAAAATAAGCTGGGAGTAAAAATGAAGGAATCCCATTGTCGGTCCACCATAAATTGCAGTAATAATTCAGCAACGAATAACTCAATGACTATAACTGGATATTTGGTAAGACATTGGGGACGAACATGCACAATCGTGGCTACACGGTACGCCAAGTTCATATGAGCGTAGCGTAAAGAACAACGGCGAATGCGTAGAAAAAGACCAGGCGACGAAATATGCAGATAGGAAAACGTTGTGGCACATCAAGCACGGTAATATGTGGTCCTAGCCAGCTTGGCAATGTGAAGTTATGGGCTGTGACTTTATTCGTTGTCGTGTCACATTTGCCACGCCGCAGTTTTGTTAACCGGACATTGGTGGCTTTTTATTGGGAGAACCCATGCCAAGCGAAACCCACCAAGTTCTGGAACACTGCCATTGATTCATTCGAATGACAAACTGTAACTGACATTGATTCTTATTGGCCGAGTATTGGTTCTGTTAGTAGCGGTCCGAAGACGTCCATACTTTTCGCTGGCTGCTGAATGATGCGCAAGGGACTGTTTCATCCATTGTTCCTGTTATGTCCAGACGTAATGGCACGGCCCGTTAAATGGGCAAACTATAAAATGAACGTGTTTGGAAGGTTTTGTATTTGTTGTCTTTAGAACCGCCTAATGTTTCCGAAAAATATCCAAAGTAGCATGGCGTTGAAGTATTTTTAGAGCAAGGAGAATGGCCAAACGCAATGGTTCTGACCAGGAAAGCCGCAAATTTTCTGGAACAAAGAACCGAAAAGTCTTCCGTGGTAAGTTGTGTTGATTAGAACAATGTTATTTACGGCCAAGTGGACGGTAAACGTAGTATGAGCTGCTCCAGACGTGGTAACTGCAAAGACGTTGTCCGAAAATAAACTTTGACGTATCCATTTGTTCTTGTCATAGTGAATAGTAGCATTGTATTCGGATGGCGCCAAAGGAGGTGCGTAGAAATGGCAGGAAAAGCTGCCCCGAAGCCAAGTTAAATATCTAAGTTGATACTGTCGGGGCGTGAATTCCGAGTAAGAATTATGCGACGAATAGGCCAGCCGAACACAACTGTTCAGACCTAAATATAACGGCATCCATCCTAGGGAACGAACAAGTGGTTTGGCCATCCAGTAAGTAACAAAATAGTGGGATAATTATCCATCCAGTTTCAGATAAAGCAATATTGTCCTTCGTTGAATGGTTGGGGTCAAGCAGTAGACATATCCTTGGTTGCTGTCCACCGGTTCTGTGGAGATCACGGGGAAATGAAACACGAACGAAGGCAGCCACACTAATAGACAAAAACGATGCATCTGGATCTCAGAGAAGCATATGATCAGTCGCAAGAGTGTTTTCACTAAGGGATCGCACAATCCATGTATCATAATAAATAACATCTTAAGTACATGTGTTCCACACAAAACATAGCTTAGCCGAACTGTGAACGGTGACCCCTCGGTAGACTGTACCAAGTCGGAGATGAAGTGGCTGTTCCGACGCGCTTGCTGAGTCAGTGGATTGTGAGTATGTCGTTTACTTTAGTCGGAAAGACGAACGGTGATGGTCAGGGTTAGTAGTGTAAGATACTCTGTTAAGAAAACGAGAGCAAGTCCGGCAAATTCTCGGGGAAAGTGCTTTGGGGATGCACCCCTTAAATAATATATCTTTCAGTAGTATGAATGCCGTCAGGAAGCACAACTTCCGTCAGGTAGCCTTATGTCAAATCAAACTACAGAGTTGGCAATCCAGTTGTGACAAAAGCACTGGCCTCGATTCACGTTGGTCACCTCACACTGTGGTACGGGATTCTGGGATTAGGGAAGCGCAAGTAGGTATCCGCCCAAGACGCGGCTGTATAGACCACACACTAACTATGTGGCAGTTGCTA